TGACGATTTCGCAACAGTTCGAAGCATCGAACCTTGCACAGCAGATGTACTATCGCAGTCAGGTGCAAGAATACGAAGGAATCGTCCAAACCCTGATGGACAAGATCAAGGAGATGCAACAAGAGGATGAAGGATCTGGAATTCGCATTGAAGAATTGGAACGACAACGTGACCATGCATGCTTAGCCATGAGGCACATCAACAATGTCAATCAGGAGATGAAGCGAGACTATGAAACAGCTTTGTTTCGCATTGATGAACAGAACTCTGCTCAACAACGTCAAGCACATGCCGTTGCCGAGGAGTTAGCTCAACAGCTACACGTGTTCCGCACGGAGGCAGCCACCAACTTTGTGCAGTTGGAGGCAAGAGCGCAAGGCGATGGTGAGCTTATGGCACGTGAGTATGAGCGTCTGACACATGAACTTCATGAACATGCCAGAGAGAACTTGGTCCTCCGGTCAAACACAGCAAGTTCGGAACAAGCCTTACAAGCAATGCAGGAACGATTCCACTTGGTCAAGAACCAGGAGTTGCGGGCTGTGAACGAGATCCAAGGGCTAGCTGGAAACAGCGCAGCCATTGAACAAGAACGATTCCGGCTTCGCGAACGTCTTGGTGAAGAGGAAGAGTACCGCAAAATGGCTGTGAAGAGGATGCAAGATGCAGAGGACCGACTTCATCAGAATGAAGATCATGCAAGGCGAGCATTGCCTACCTTGCACGACGAGCTGAGTGAACTCAGAAAAACGCTCAAAGCACAAGAAGATCTTCAAGCGAGGACACGCAGCGAATTGGAGGCAGCGCGAAACTCCAATCACGGAGGAGCGACACGACCTTCGAGCATGCCCATGTCTTCGAGGACTACTGAGTCTGGCTGGGAGCACGTAGGAAAGGATGTAATGCCGGCATTTTCCGTAGGAGATGAGGTACGATCCCCTGAAATACGGTCCCCAAGTCAAGTTAGTCCAGTCGCCAAAGAGAAGTTCGCATTCTCGGAATCGGACAAGGACAAGAACCTTGTGATGGATGGCATTCCATTCACCGGTGGAAACTTCTTCACTGGCCGCAGTTCAATGCCAATCGTGGCGGATGCAATGCCCGAGCACTACGTGCCAGGTATTAGCAGCCCAGCACTCGCGCGTTCCACGCCTAGTGCAGCCACTTTGTTCGGCATACCAAGCGGATTTCATGGGAAAAGTGATGCGGCAGCCGTGCGTGATCGACAGCTACGCGAACTCTTGGGGGATCGCGGGATGTTGGGATCGAAGTCCACAGCATCGGCCAGCTCCTCAAGACCTGTTGGTATCGACGGTGTTACCGCATCTACGAAGGGTAACGACCTCATCGGTCCCCCTATTGCCTATGACGATTCCATTCATGAAGCAAGAAGACGTCAAATCGAGAAAGAGGTCGCGGAACGGTACGAGGAGAAGATTGCCGATCTGCGAAGCGAAGTACTCAAGGCCCAGAAAGCCGAACAACGTCTCAGAGCTGATCGTGATGAATGGAGGTTATTCGCTGAAACGATTCAGGAGGATAATGGAGACGGTGACGGTGACGAGGGTGGCGACGAGAACGAAGATGGAGAGCACGATGAAGGAACCGGCACGGGGTATGACCCTCCTGACCCGCCTGACGATGATGATGATAATAAGAAAAGCGGTGGAGGCAAACCTGAATCGGATCCTGGCTCGCATGCGCGTGATCCTGATGGAGACGCGGATCCTGAAGTCACAGAGGTGAGAATTTCCAGGAGGGAAGCCGACAAAGTGACCGTTCCTCCGTGGCCTACTCTCACTCATCTCAACAACTGGCGATCCGTGTGCACGGCCAATGTCTTAGGAGCATCAGCCGACCCACATCATGAGGACTGGATGTTATGGCTGGCACCAGCGTTCAACCCATTCCCTGATGTCGAAGCATTGAATGATTCAGGACACAAGAAGTTCAAGAGCATAGACGTCAAATTGGGGATCGCCATGGTCGCAATGCTACGTGCCGGTGGTGACAAATCAGCTGACCTGTACCTCGAGGTGAACCGGAAGGCCAACGATTACATCAGCAGGCCTGACGTGAAGATCATCAAAGGACGACAAGTCATTGCGATGATGTATGAAAGTTTTCGAACGCATGATCGTCTTGACATGATCATCACTCTTGAGTATTTGGTGAAGCTCCAGTACCAAGGCGACAACAAGCTTCATACGTTCAAGCAGACGTGGTTGGAAGTTCTGGGACGGATGAGACCAGAGGACATTCCATCCAAAACAGCTCTCCGTGATTGCTTGTACAGCAAGATCAAGGACTCGCCCGCAATGAAGATGGAGTTGGGCATGCATTACGAACACTTGCCCTACAATCATGAAGACCGATCGTACGACAACCTGATGAAGATCATTGATCGTACTATCATGCGGAGACGAGAACAGTCAAATCTCACTCAGACCCAAATTGGCTTGCGCCAGATGCTTGAGGGCAAGGATTTGCTTGCTGCACCGGCCAAGGTACCCGAGAAACCTACGCCTAACGCAGCTCCATCCGCAAAGGTCAAGGCTTCGCCGACCAAGCCGGATAAAGCAACACCTGTACTACCTCAAAGCAAAGCGAAGAGTCATGCGAAGACCAAGCCAAAGCCCAAGAAGAAGACGAGGAGTGAGTCAGCGGACAACAGAGGTGACAAAAGCAAGAAGCAAATCCGCTGCAAGTTCCATTTCACAGATGCAGGGTGTCGAAATGGCGATAAGTGTCCATTCAGTCACTCGAAGAAGACTCCAGAGCGACCCTTCACGCCGAGGACGAGAACTCCAAGTCCGTCTGGAGGAGGAGGAAACAGGATATGCTACTCGTTCAAGAACACAGGCTCGTGCTCAAGAGAGAATTGTCCTTTCAAGCATGAGGCAGCAGCTACCCCAGCTCCGGAACCAAAGGCAAAAGCTAAAGCTAAATCCGAAGCGAAGGCAGCTCCAGCGAAGCCGAATGCCAAGGCCAAGGCACTCCCTGCGGCACCCGCCATCAGATTGTGTCGAAGGTGGAATCCATCAGCTCCGGCTATATGGAAGCGATCTTCAAGACAAGATGAGGAGGAGTCAGATTGTCCATCCGTTGACAGCGACGCTGATTCGGATTGTTCAACAGATGACGAATCCTCGGGAACGACTACGTCGACCCGAAAAGTGATAAAGCGCAATGTGACATTTGCCAACGACGTGAAGTTCATTTCTTCGTGTCCTAGAAGATCGAAGAAAGACAAAGAGCGGAAGGTGAAGTACGTCGACATGGAAGCGTTTATCAATGATGAGGACCGCGCCGTGAGCTTGGAATTCGCCAAGCACAAAGCGAGATTGAGGGCACAGATCATGAGAGACATGGTTGACGACGATGATGATCAATGCGGAGATCGAGTTTCATTCGTACGAATCCCAGGAACGTCTCGAGTGGAAGAAGTTTCGTTCTACGACGGTGAAGATTCCATCGTTGAGCGCGAACTCGATGCTGCACACAGCAAACGGATCATCAATCAAGGCTTATTCAAATGCATGGTTCAACCAGTCATCCTCAAGAAGAAGATCAAGTTTCTCATGGACACTGGGTGTGGTCATGACCTCATATCTCAGAAGAAGATCGAGAAGCACAGTCTCGAAACACTCGTGACTCCAGAGCCCATATCATTTCAGACAGCCAATGGAATCACCGATACCGATCTCGTGTCGAATTTCCAGACTGAGTCGTTCGAGGAACCGATCAACGCTTATGTGTTGGATGACACACCGTCGGTGCTTTCCATAGGCAAGAGATGTATGAACTTCAACTACGGGTTTGTGTGGCCACCCGGAAGGGAACCATTCATGATCAACCCGCAGGGCAAGAGAATATCTCTGTTCGTGAACGGTGACATCCCGTACGTTCGTGCCGGGAGTTCTAAGTCATTGGTTCATGATGATCCGGAGGCCAAAGCGATCACCGAAATCTTCAAGGGTGCGTTGACAGCGGGCAACGTTGACGTCAGCGTCGCAGCTGCCGCTGAAGCTGCACCGAGCGAGA